TCTGCCCTTATTCAGAGTCTCAGATTTACAGCTGTAGTCTGGCCTGAAATTACTGAATTCCAGTCCAACCTTTAAGCATTGACACCATAATGATCAGTTTTATCTCTCTATCTATTATTTGTCAGGAGATTTTAACACGAATATACTTACAAGAGCTGTCAGAAATCCTCCAAATAGAGAGGCCTCTGCAAAAACCATTGGCCTTCTCATGGTGCTTTTGCTTGCATTGCTTTGGTTTTCCAGGACTTACAGAAATGACCTTTTTCATTGCCTTTCAAATTCCTACCCAGGTGTGATGAGGCACAAGAAGCCAGGCAAGGCCTGGAGCTGTAAAGCCACATTTCAGCCCCAAGCAAGAGCCTCGGTGCACTCTCATTATCTTCATTAACAGTTTTTAGTGTGAAAACCGGGGAGGGTGAGGTGAGCCACGCTGCCTGCTTCTGATCCTCAGGTTATAGCTCAGCCTAAAGAGACTGTACTAAATTTTTTAGGCTGTTTCACAGAGTTGCAGACTTTGATCCCTGGCTTTGATTTCCCAGGTGGCATCGCAGAGCGCAGGTTCTGGCGAGAGAAGAGCCCTGGCTAGCCCCGTGATTATCTTCCCTTTTCACCATCACCCAGGCTTTCATCAAAGCCCCAGCTCCCCAGCCTGTGCCCTGGGGGGGCGGATGCAGACAGTGGCGGTGAGAGTGGGTGTGTGGCCCCCACCACAGCTCCAGCCGGGGCAGGGGAAGTGCTGTGCTCAGCACCCTGCTCCTGCCCGGCAGAGCATCCCCTCCAGTGCACTCCCCCTCTCACCCCTCTCTTGGTCTTTGCCTGGCCTCAGCAGGATGCTCGGAGCGAGGTGACCCTGGTTTCTCTCTAGGGTCTGTTTGGTCTGTTGGCTACAACAAGCAGGCCAAATGAGAAATGCTCCCTGTGTCTTCGCGGGTCCCGGGGTCCCTCTGCACCACTTGGCTTTCCTTTGCTCAGATGTACTTTAAATCTCAATCTAATTTTGCTGCCGTATCGCAAGTTCCCACCTAACTCAAGAGCTTCTCTTGCCTCAGGGCTGTGATGCTGCTTTTCAGTCTTCCCACGTCCCTCGCATGTGCGGCCTGGGAACACTCGAAAAGTCTCTCCTAAATTTGTCTGTGTGTACTCGGGGTCATCCTAGGAGCAATAGGGTGTCTGTCTCATAATGGATAGCACTGATAAAATCCCTTGCTCAGCAAAACAGGAGCTGCTTTCATGGAGGCAGTTTGCCAGTGAAGATGGCAGAGAACCCCATGCTGGATTTCAGCAGCAAGAGCCACATCCCCTGAGCTGCTCCTGCTCCTTAACATGCCCAAAACAGTGTCCAGGGAGAAACAGCAGCGGTCCCACGAGCAGGTCCCTGACATCAAGCTGCAGGGGAATGGCAGCACGTTGGGGATTGCAAGCTGCAGCCCATGGGGAGGCTGTTTGGAGGGCTCTGATCCATTGTGCTGGCGGGTCCTGTGGCTGCTCATCCTCGTCTTAAGGTCTTGCTGCTTCCACAAAGAGCTTTAATGGAAGAGAAAAGGGAGAAGGGTGCAAACGGCTTGTGGAAGGTGCTGGGTCCATCCCTGCCTTCACCACCCACCAAGGCAGGACCTGCCACGGGGCACAGGGGCACTCTGACAGTGCTGATCGCTGCGCCTCAGCCTGTGGGTTTGTGGCTTCTCCCCTCTCCATGCGCTGTTGAGGCTTGTGGTGTTCTGGCAAACCAGCCTTGACTGTAATAATGTCTGGCCCCTCGTGGGAAGTTGTAACTCCAACGCAGTGAAATAGAAACTGGCAGAAAATGGAGCGTTTCCTTCTGCCGCTGCAGCAGGCAGGCTCCGAGGGGGGGGTGCTGCTGGCTTTCCCTCTTTCCCTCCCCTGCTTTTTGTGTTTTCCCCTCCCCACTGAAGGGCATGGTCACCCTCCTCCAGCCACGCAGAGGGAAACGTGCTGGGCTGATGGAGCACTTCCATAGAACCACAGAACCCCAGCCTGGTTTGGGTTGGAAGGGACCTTAAAGCTCATCCAGTCCCAACCCCTGCCACGGGCAGGGACACCTTCCACTAGAGCAGCTTGCTCCAAGCCCCTGTGTCCAACCTGGCCTTGAACACTGCCAGGGATGGGGCAGCCACAGCTTCTCTGGGCACCCTGTGCCAGCGCCTCAGCACCCTCACAGGGAAGAGCTTCTGCCTAAGAGCTCATCTCAGTCTCCCCTCTGGCAGGTTAAAGCCATTCCCCCTGGCCTGTCCCTACAGGTCCTTGTAAATGACACCTTAAATTTGTACTCGGCAAAGTCACAATTCCAGGAGCTTTGGAAGGAGGCAGCAATGGGAAACATGAACGTTGTTTGTCTTGGGGTCAAAATGGTGCAGCTTCAGTGTTGCAGGGTGCCTGTGGTGATGTGGGTGGCAGCCCCATCACTGCTAGATGAGCTTGTCTGCAGGGGTCCCTGGGAGAAGCCGGGAGCATCAACCTGAATTAGCATTGGAAAGCACAGAGTAGAACTGGATGAGCTTTAAGGTCCCTTCCAACCCAAACCAGGCTGGGATTCTGTGATTCTATGGAAGTGCTCCATCAGCCCAGCACGTTTCCCTTTGTGTGGCTGGAGGAGGGTGACCATAGTCTTCAGGAGCAGAATGATGGATGGATGTGATGGACATGGGCATAGGATGGGACAAGGGCTTCAGCCATGTAGGGAGGGCCACATCTGGAGGGGATGTGATGTGACCCCACAGTCAGAGTGGGTCCTCCCAGGGCAAACTGGGGCTATTGAGGGCAGTGGGGTCCCTCTTGGGAAGCTGCTTTACCTCAAGCACAGTGCTTGTGTTCAGTCCCCATAGGCTTGTGGCTGTTCCTCACCCGGGTTTGAAGCGGGTTAATCTCAACTCTCAAATCTCTGCCATCACTGCAGCATCATGGGGTCTCATTGGAGGCGGATTTCATCCCTATCCCAGTCTCAGAGCTTCATCGTGGGGAATGTTGTTGCTGGTGCCACCATTCCCTTATCCATCAGGGCTCACAACAGGGTGAATTTCCCATGCAAGTGCTCCCCAGTCTGTCTCATTGTATTTGGTTCTCTCCAGGCTGCTTTGCCCTGGGCCTGACAGTGCAATTTGTACAGATCTGGGCTGAATTTTCCAAACATTCAGATGAGTTGGTTTTGTTAGTGGGAAGCCTGGGCTATTGATAGTAGGCGTTAACCACTGAGAAGTGAGCAGTGCTCCTGCCATCCGGGAGGGCTTCCTGACCCCCAGAGGTGCTCCTTGGCAAAAACTCCATGGTTCAGAGATTTTAGTTAGCTCTCATCCTGCAGGTGAGCAGCCAGGCATGGAGGGGCAGTTCCATTCGTCGCTTGCGTCCCTTGCTAGGAGAGGTTTTGTTATTTATTGTAGACAGATGTGGCAAAGGCGCTTGGATATCCCAACCTTCTGTGCTCCTTGAATGGCACCAGGAGGTCTCCAGTGAGAGGAGATCCTCTTCCAGTGCAGGCATACTCAGAAAGGCGCACGCTTGCCCTGGTCTCCCTTGCCCAGAGTGACTGCCGTGAGTGATTCTGCTGCTGTTGGTGTGGTGAGGTTGGGGAATGCCCGCGTCCTGGAGCGTGCATCAGGTCCCAGCTGGACCCAGGCACCAGAGGCTGGTTTGCTCCCAGGGCCGCTGCAGCCCGTGGGACCGTGCAGTGAGAATCTCCTCTGCAGGAGGATCCTGAAGCTCCTTCCTGGCCTGTCCGGGCAGGTCACGGATGCGCCTGTGCTCGGCAGGGGCCTGCGCTGCTGCAGCAGGTGAGCGAGGAAGGAGGAATGGAAAGTGGCTCCCAACAACCCCCTTCCCCTGCCTCGAGGTCAGCCTGGTGACTGCGGTCAGAACCCTGCATCCCGGGGGTACCGGTGACTCCTGGCGCTGCGGGATGCAAAGCCCGGGCGCAGCAAGGGGGGTTCCTGGCACCTTGGCTCACCCAGATGAGCTTAGTGCTTAGGTGGAGCCATGGGTTTAACGGGGAGCTGCTTCCTGCCCAAATCCGTTTGTCTTCTGGGCTCTATTACAACCCTGCCTCTGTCTCTCTTGTCTCTTGGCTGGTGCTGGGCTCTGGCTGCTCCAGCAGCTTCCTGGTGGCGGTCAGAGCTGCGGGTGTTCTGCTGTAGCAGGGACGCGTGGCCTTTGGCTGGCTGCAGTGCCATTGCTGCTTCAAAGAAGAGCAAAAGCTCGATCAAGTGCTGGAGCTCTTCCTCAGAGCACAAGAGGCTGTGATCGGGGATGGAGGCTGTGAGAGCCCTGCCAAAGAGGGAGCCTGTAGCACATAACCCCTGCCTGCCGCCTTCAAAGAGGTGCTAGCAGTGAAGCATCTGTGCAGCCGGTACCCAGGGCCATGGTGAGCAAGGCTTGGCCTTGTCTGAACCGGGGGCAGCTGCTCTCGTCCAGACCTGGGGGTTTAGCCCGGGCCTTGCAGACAGGATAGGGTCCTGTGCTTGCAGTCCTTGGGGAGGAGTGCTTGCTGTGAGAGGTGTGTGTGGTGAGGCCAGGCGCGCTTTGAGATGGAGGCACCAGGACAAGCAGAGCCGGTGCTGCAGCCAAGGGGTGCTTAAATAAAGGAGCATGTTGGCAGCGAGGAGCACGAGAGGGGAACCAAGAACTGAAATGGAAAAGGCTGTTAAGGAATAGATGTGATGGGAAGCGAGAGGATCAATAGCTGCGAGGGAAGCATAGGGGAGGGCTCCCTGCCAGGGGAAGATGGGTAGGACACATGGTGGGGTGGCACTGGTGGCTCCGTGTGCCCTTCCCCAGGCCCCTGCCATCCTTTCAGGCTGCATCGGTCATGTGCTGTGTGTGAGGTGGTCTGCAGGGCTTCACACCTTCACAGCCGCAGGCTGCCAGCAGTGGGAGAACGGGGATGCTGTGGGATCAGGCTGGATTGGGCCTCGTTTGTGCCCGCTCTGGGTGCATCCCACCCTGCTGTGCCTGCTCTGCTGGTGACCTGCCTTCCGCTTCCTTCCCGGCAGCAACCCCAAAGTCCAGATAGAAGCGATTGAAGGGGGGGCACTGCAGAAGCTCCTGGTGATTCTGGCTACGGAGCAACCCCTGGCTGTCAGGAAGAAGGTGAGTGAGTGGGGAGGCACCTCGGGGAAAGCTGCTCTTGTGCTGTAAGCGCTCCCTGGGGCACCAGTGGCACCGGCAGCCTGCGGGTCCCTGCTCTGCTCCCCACGCTGGGTGGGCTTTGCTCCCAGGGCTGCAGGGCTCAGCCAGCCCCGCAGAGGACAGGGCTCGGTGCTGCGGCTCCTCTGTGGGGCGAGGGCAGCCGGCAGGGGCTGACGGGCACGGAGCTGCCGGTTGGAGGGAGGCGATCACTGGAGCCAGTGCTGGGTCCTGCCCTCGGTGGCTCTGGAGCGAGCGGAGCAGCGCTGAGAGCCCCCAGCCAAATGTGCAGCCCTGTCCATCGGGCCGGGGCTCCTCGCCGGGCTCCCTGGAGCATGAGATCTCATTACCCTCGCTGCAGCGCGTGGTGCCACCTCGGCTTACGGGCCGTGCCGCTGTCTGCTGCTCCCCACATCCCAGCCCCACCACATAACAGTGACCTCCTGCGAGAGGGGTCCCATGGGGCGAGGGAGCCAGCAGCTCGCTCAGGTCAGTTCACCTGCTGCGTGCCGACAGTGACGTGCTGCTGGTGTTCTAGCACCACCGGGCTCCCCTTTAGTCCGTGGTAAGAGTCCTCCAGCGAGCGAAAGGCACAGGAGAGGCTGGGGAACCCCTTTGGTTTCGGCCATGGGTGTGAGGAGGTCCCAGCTTGAGAAGTGCCCCATGGGATGCCCCATCCTCAGAACACCTCCCAGGAGTGGCCATGGCTCAACCCAGAGCTCGTTTGGGGTGGGAAGGGGTGGCTGGGTGTGCAGACACCCTCACCAGCATCCTTGAACCGCTGCGTGCTGGGTGTGGGACAGCTCTTCCCAGTGAGCCTGAACTGGTCCCACAGGCAGCCGCTGGAGAAAAGGGACAGGGATGCCCTCGGTGTTGTCCACGTTCACGTGCGGCGTTATGAGAGCCTCCGAGGGTCAAACCCCCTTTTCCAGCAGGACAGAGGCTCTTAATTTCCAGCTCCCACGCTGTGCCTCTCAGCTCTCTTCAGACCAGGATCCCAAGCACAGGTTGCTGCCCCAGCCCCTCCCCATGCCTCCCTCCCCGGTGCACAGCTGAAGCCAGAGGTGCGTTTCTTCCCTCCGCTGCCCTTTGGCCTGTGCTTAAAGCAGGAGTGAGAAGCGTCCTCGGCAGCAACTCTGAAGATGGAAAATAGGCGCAAAGGGGACTGGGGGAGCTGTCGGCTCGGATCTGTCCCTGCGCAGCGGGGATGTTCCCTCCGTGCTCCTCGGTGCGGAGGAGCCGGCTCCGCTCCCGCCCCGCCGCGCTCAGCTGCAGCCCTGCCCCGGGCGCTCAGCCCATCCCCTCTGCAAGCCGGGGCCGTCACAACCACACCGGTGCAAGGTTCGGCTGCCCCTGGTGCTCACCCCGCGCTGCTCAGGCCCAGGAGGGACGTGCGGGTGATGCTGCAGCAGCACAGAGCTGGCTGGGGGCCGTGTCCTGGGACACATCCTGGTGGTGGCCTCTGGCCACAGGGGTGCAGGGGGAGGATGGTCCCCAAGCGCCCAAATCATCTCGAGGGGGTCAGGCTCTGCTGAGCGGTGCTGGACCCCCCCTTGCCCTGCGTATCCCATAGCCAGGCTCTGTACTGAGGGCTGGGGGAGTGAACTGCACGGAGAAGCAATGGTGTTGGGTGCTGGCAGCAGGCCCCTCTGGTTGGTCCTTCTAGCAGCCATGGTGACGGTCCAGGTTGGAGTTTGGGTGGAAGTCACCCAGGTTTGGGCAGCCTTGCAGCACCAGGAAGGGCTGGGATCAGGATAAAGGGGACTCTTGGAGATAGCCCTCAGCAAGGAGCAGTTTCAATGCACCTGCTGGGGAGCTCCACACAAGTGGGCTGGAGCGCGTTCCTCCTGTCCCCATGGCGTGCAGTAAAGAGAGGCTGTGCCAGATGCGGCAGCCATGGGCACGGTGCTGATGGACCTCTCTCCCCACCAGGCGCTCTTCGCGCTCTCCTCCATGCTGAGGCACTTCCCCTACGCCCAGCAGCAGTTCCTCAAGCTCGGCGGCCTCCAGGTCCTCAGGAGCCTCTTCAGGCAGAAGGGGATGGAGCCCCTCCACGTCCGCGTGGTGACGCTGCTCTACGACCTCATCATGGAGAAGGTGAGGAGCTGGGAGGGAGGGGATGGGACCGAACAGGCACCCTCACCCCCTCACTCAGCATAGGGGCCGTCGTGCATCCTCATGGGATAGGGGTGAGGAGGAACCCATCGACCACCGGTGCTCTTGGGATGGGTTCCCTCCAGCTGCAGGACACGAGTGCCTGGGAGAGCTCAGAGTGAGCTTAAACCACGTGCCAGGGACCAGGCACCAGCCACTGCTGCTGTGCCCCTGCCGCTGGAGGGGCCCCGTCCCTGGAGCCCAGCCCGAGCCAAAGGGGTTTATTTCCAGATACCTTGGATTACTGCTGTAAATGTCAGTTTGAATCCTGCCTGTCCTCGCCATCGCTGCTCGTTCAGTGTGTGTGTGCGCCGGTTCTCCAGAGGATGGAGATTAAATCCACTTTCTGTTTATAGCCAATTTGTCCTGCAGGTTATTACTGCTGCAGTGCTGGGGTCTCGGGCACCGCAGAGCTTTGGCTGTTTTAAACCAGTTGTTTTCCAGGAGCCTTTGTAAAGGTGCAAATTCTTTTAGCAGGTCTGAAATCTGCGCAGGTGCTGGCTCTAACGTGCAGCACTCACAGAACCCCAGACTGGTTGGGGTTGGAAGGGACCTCAAAGCTCACCCAGCTCCAACCCCAGCCATGGGCAGGGACACCTTCCACTGGAGCAGCTTGCTCCAAGCCCCTGTGTCCAACCTGGCCTTGAGCACTGCCAGGGATGGGGCAGCCACAGCTTCTCTGGGCACCCTGTGCCAGCGCCTCAGCACCCTCACAGGGAAGAGCTTCTGCCTAAGAGCTCATCTCAGTCTCCCCTCTGTTGGTTTGCAGTGCGAGGTGAGCAGCCCGTGCCGCTGCAGCACCACCGTGGTCATCATTGCAGAGGCCACCGGCCGAGCCGGGAGGATCCATTGAGGAATTCCATGTTACCCACAGCTGCTGCACCACTTGGGCCCCGCTGGTGTTGGGGAGGTGGTGGGAGGTTTCCTGGCCACCCCCTCTGGCCCCGGTGTTCCTTGGGGCAGGTCCCTGCCTGCCCTGGCCCCTGCGGGCACCGTCTGGGCTCAGCAGCATCCCTGAGGCATTCCGGTGTTTGGGGTTTCTGGACAGGCTGGGAGAGGAAGCTCCGGCTGTGGCTGGAGGAGCCAAGCTCTCCCCCCGGTCACAGGAGCAGCACAAAGCCCCGCAGTTGTGTTTGCTCCGTGCTGCAGGAGCAGCTCCAGCAACAGCCCCAGAGACTTCACAAGTCTTGTGCTGAGCTTCTTCCCCTCGAGACCCTTCCAGCCCCACGCGAGACTGAATCCGTTGGGCGCCAAGAGTTTCCCAGGGTGGGCAGACAGCTCCTGTGGATAATTCCATGTCAAACACAACCTCGGCTTGGTTTCCTGTTCCAAGTCACCCTGCAAGGCGGCGTTCCCGGGTGTGCACCCTGCTCCCCCGCCACGTGCTGCCTCCCGGGAGCAGTCACTCTGTGACGAGGACATTAATCCGTGTCCCATCACTCCCCACAGATGCTGCTGGAGGACTCGCAGCACGGGGACCACCTGGAGGAGAAGCTCCAGCAGTACCGGCAGGTGAAGCTGGTGCCGGCGGTGGTGGAGCAGGACTGGTGCGTGGTGGTTTCCAACCTGCTGGCCGTGCCGGAGCACGACAGCCGCGAGAAGGTGCTCAAGATGGTGGGGGTGCTGATGGCCTTCTGCAGGGAGCGCTACCGCGGGGACCCGGCGCTCAGCACCACCCTCAGCCTCCTGCGCAGCGAGTACGAGGAGCTGGCGGCGGAGGAGCAGAGGGAAGGGGACAAGGACGGGTACTTCGGGGAGCTGCTGGGCTCTGTGAACACCATCATCCAGGAGCTGAGCTGAAAGCAGCCCTGGGATCCCTCCGCTCCAGGTACTTCAGGGCAACAGCGGGAGTCTGGATGGCACCAGTGTACGCGCACCTCTGAATAAACGCTGGACTCGCTGAGCTCCCAGCACCGCGAGCGCGCCAGCAGCCTCATTAATACAGCCCACACGTGTGGGGCACGTGTCCCTTCCGTGGGGAAATACAGGGAGCTGCCTTGGAGGGCATGAGGTGAAGCCTCAGCTTCCATTGCCCCGACCTTCCGAGGGTTCTCAGTCTGTCCGCAGGGTTATTTGGGGTGGGAAGGACAGGGGGATGCGGGGCTGCCCGTGCTGCACAGAGGGAGGTGTTTGTTCCTGCAGCTCTGCTCTGCCTTTGTTCTGCCCCACGGTGCCTGAGCTTGGTTTGCCTCTGGATGAAGCATCTCAGCACCCACACGGCACCGTTTGCCTTTGGATTGCGTTGTGCTGGTACCGGGGGACAAGCAGTGGCTGGAGGGGCTCTCTGCAGCCTCTGAGCCAGCCTTGGCTTGGAGCAGGACGATCCCTGCTTCACTATTTCAGCCCTTCTTGAGGCTGAAGTGTTTCTGGCAACCATTTACAGCACGTCCCTTGTCACTGTAAAGCAGTGGGGCTGACTGCACATTATTGAGGAGTTTGCTTTTTGTCCTTCTCTTTCAGGTTTCGGTTCAGGCTGTTTTGCTGGCATTAAAAATGACTTCTCTTTCTTCTGAATGCGTTCCTCAGCCCGTCCTGCCGGGGCTTTGCTGGGCAGGTTAAAACCAACCCAATGGCAGTGGCCAGGGCAGGAGCTTTCCTGCAGGAAGCCCGAATCCCAGAGCAGGGCTGGGGGAAGAGCTGGGGGTACCGGCACAGGGATGTCCCTGGTCCTGCCTGGCCCCATCCCTGCTGCACTGCTGGGCTTAAGGAGCTGGGGCAGGTCCAGCTCCTCCTGACAGCCTGAGTGAGGAGGGAGCCAGCAGCAGCTGGGGCAGCCCCCTCCCTTCAACCCCCAAAGCCAGAGCCCTGCTTTCTAATCTTAAATGCCTTAGAGCTGTGAAGAGCAGCAGCAGCAGCAGCGCAGCTGAGGAAGTGCACAGCGTTAAAGGAAGCAAAGTAAATGTAAAGTAAGGACCTCCTGGCCTGGCTTTGAGCCCTTTGGCAGTGGAAGGCAGTTGTGGTGCAAAGGCTTTTTGAGGCCTTGGGCAGCCTGGTCCTCTGATGCTGCTCAGTGACCTTCGCATCGAGCTGTGGTCAACCCCACATCCTCCCTGCCCAAAGGGCTCTCCTCTGGGAGGGGGGATGTGCAGGAGCCCCCCCTCCTGTTTGGGGCACCCTGCAGTGGGGCTGGGATTTGCTCCCCCACCTGCCCTTGGGGTCATTCCGGGGAGGCAGCTGCACGGGGGTGCTGCTGTATCAGCTTTGCACCTTTGGGTGCCTTGCCCTTCTCTGCACCCATCGTGTCCCACCCAGCCAAAAGAGCCCCTGGCCCATGGCTGCCCTGCCTGGGGCTGGGCTTTGAGCCGGCAGCAGCAGAGCTGGGGTGGGCAAAGGGAGAGCTCTGCACGTTAAAGGCATTTGCTGAACAGCGTTAAACCTCGGCCCGGGAGCCTTCACACGCAGTTAAAGCAGCACGGATTCAACGTGGCTGAAGTGAATTAAGAGCACTTGAAATCTGGAGTAAGACGATCTCCCGGGGGGTTAACGTGGTTTCACTAATGAATGCACTTCAGAAGACAATGTGGGCTCATCTTCCTGTGCAGGCAGGGCCCTGGGGCGGGCAGGGGGCTGCTGAGTTGGGCATAGCCTCACGGGGTGCTGCCATCCCACAGCAGCACAAAGAACCCCGAATGCTTCCTGTTCAGAGATGTTTTGGGATGTCTCAGTGCCCTCCTCTTCACTGGAGAGTGATGCTGAGCTGATGGGGGAGCTTCAGCTCATGGCTCACCATCAGAGGTGGTGCTGGGACCCTTTCCCACCTCACACTCACACAGCTTTTCCAACAGGACGCAGTTGCACTCCCTCCCTCCAAGGTGTTGCAGCTGCACAAGCCCTTCCCCTGTGCTTCATTACATCGAGCAGTAATCACTGTAATTCTTTCCATTTGTCTAATAAAGCTGAAGCTTCGCTGGAGTCCGGACCCCCCTCACTGTGCAGCTCAGCATCACTGTGCAGGGCAGCATCACCATGCAGCTCAGCATCGCTGTGCAGGGCAGCATCACCATGCAGCTCAGCATCACCATGCAGCTCAGCATCACCATGCAGCTCAGCATCACTGTGCAGGGCAGCATCACTGCACAACTCAGCATCGCTGTGCAGGGCAGCATCACCCCCTGATGTGCTGGTGCCACACGGGAGGATGAAATTACCTGACACTCTCTTCAGCTGGGCCTGTAGTGATAGGACAAGGGGGGGATTGATGGGTTTAAACTTAGAACAGGGGAGGTTTGGGTGGGTATAAGGAAGAAGCTCTTCCCTGTGAGGGTGCGGAGGCGCTGGCACAGGGTGCCCAGAGAAGCTGTGGCTGCCCCATCCCTGGCAGTGTTCAAGGCCAGGTTGGACACAGGGGCTTGGAGCAAGCTGCTCTAGTGGAAGGTGTCCCTGCCTGTGGCAGGGGTTGGAGCTGGATGAACTTTAAGGTCCCTTCCAACCCAAACCAGGCTGGGGTTCTACAATTTGACCTCTCCAGACACACACACTCCTGTGAGGAGCAGCTCTTGGGTGGCACTGTGCTGGGTCTGTGGTCCCTGATCCCCTTGAGCTTCCCCTCAGCTGTGCTTCCAAAGCAGCTCCCATCAGGTAGAACCCTGTTTCCCTCTGTTGTTCACCTGATGCTCAAAGTTTGCAGCATAAAATGAACTGACATTTATTTAAAAGCTAAATACACATCAATCTGTCTGTACATCCTAATGGACGGGGTGGGGTTTAGAGCGCATTAGTGGATTGGATTTTGGGGGGAGTAACGAATGTATTTTGGAGGGAGCCACTGCGCAGCCTGGGGATGTGACCTTCAAGACAATTATATTAATACCAGGAGAGAAAAACCTCGTATTAGTGTAAAAGCAGTTAAATAATTACAGCTAAAACAAGCTCTACAGCTTAGCTGCTCCATTAACCCTTCAACATCCATGGCAGCAGCAGGTTTGTACCCTCCGAGCATGTTAAAGGTGTATGAAAACCATAATTCAGTTAGTTATTCTGGCCTCAAGAGGCTAAAACGTTTGAAAACACAATAAATTTGGCAAAAATCCCCCAAGACCCATTTAGCTGAATTCTGCTCCGTGTTTTGGTAACATGACAGCAATAACCTTGATACGGTAAATTATAAGCTGATCAAGGTAAATAAAATTATAACGTAACATTGCCAAGGCTCGGCTCTGAAATTCAGATGCAGTTTAAAACATTAACTACAGAGCAGGCTGCTTTCCATTTTAATGGCTGCTTTATGGAAACAGCAAACGCGACTTTGACCTGTGCAAGCACCTCTCCTCACACGCCGGACTTCATGGGCACGTGTAAAACACACTGGAATCCATAAGGTCTAAATCAGACAGCACAATTATACCTTGCAGCTACAGTTATCGCAAATAACGTATAGTCTAAATTGCAGCCTGAGCAAACAGCTTTCCTGGGTGCCTCTGGAAGCCCAAGGCGGGATGCAGAGCAATTATGAGGAATGAGCACGAAGCTGATTTGCATCTGAATGGTGGGGGGGTGGTGATGGGGGAGCCGAGCCCGTTCCCTTCACAGCACCACAATACACCAGCTGGGCAAAGCAACTTTATTAGTGTCCCACAGCAAAATACATGAGGAAGCTGTAAGCAGGCAGTCGGTTTCCCCCCCGCTGTCACACAGGAGTAAGCAGCCGCCTCCACATCAGCCGTTCCCATGGGTTTGCTCCGGGTGCTGCCCCAAAAAGGCTGCTGGCAACGGAACCCACGAGGGCTCCGTATCCGTGTGGGAACAGCCCAGGGGCCGGGAAAAGCGGCATCGCGCAGCGGATGTGCCACCGGGAACATGGGGAACGCGACCCTCTCCCTCCACAGGCACAGGGAATGGCGGTATTCCAGGTGTTCCCTGCCTGGGCACGCGTCTCCCGCTGCGTTTCCATACTCCTCTGAGCACACAGAGCTTGTTCCCTCTCTCCACCCCAGCAGCAGGAATACGCTAATCCACACAATACGTTCATTAGTTTCTCTTTGCCTGAAAAGATCTAATTCCCCTCACTGGATCACAGCCTCCGAGTAGCATGAGTCAACTGTCAGTGTTAACCGTTAGTGTTACTGTCAAACCCTCTTTGGTTATAGGATGGTTTATTTAAAGCAGGATTATACAAAACGATTTTCAGCTAGAAATACCCCCCTGAAATCTAAAAGCCATCTAAAGGAACACGCTCCCGCAGGCTGAAGCTACGCTGACCGATAGGAATTAGAAATCTGAGTCGTTCCCCCACAGGATCTAAAGAGAGTTATCAAAATTATATTAAGGAAATACATTTTGAGGAAGGGTAAACTTCTGACAAATCCTTGGCATATGAAAAGCAGAGTTCTGGAAGGAGCAGTAGTGGGCTACAGAAAGAAAGGACCGAGACACAGACCTCGCTTTAAATACTCTCCATGGCCTTGAATTCACTGAGGGCCTGCACCGGGTTCACGTGTTTCTTCTGGGATGCTCTCTTGATTTTAGTTTGGGTTTCGTCCTGTTTCTCCCTCTTGACCAGGGGTTTCTTCTCCGGAGCCTTCATCTTCCAGGAGACGGCGGGAAGGTTGAGTGAAGCCATTCCCTGGGACTTCTGGTACTTGGTGGATGCCACATAGGAAGCCTTCACGGTTTGCACCACCGCATTCATCAGGTTCTTGGCTGCTTGGATAAGGGACATGGCACTGTCCACCTGCCAAACAGTGACACACACGTGTTACACGGCATGCAAACCACAGGAATACAGCAGTCCAGAAAACACCACGGTCCTGAGGGATAAAAACACTCAAACACTCATTTTTCTGGGTTTTCTTTTGAAATCTGAGGTTCCAGCTTTAAGGAGATGTTTTTGTTTAGGCACTAAGTGGTGAAAACGTGACTTGTGCCACCAGAAATAAAGGGCAGTGTTTCCCCACGATCCGTGCCTTT